CCAGTGCTGACTAGAAATTGGATGTGAGATCTGGTTAGAACAGTATTTTTCAACCTTGGCTGGCACATTAGAATTACTGGAGTAGTTTTAAAAAAATTCTTATTTAAAGATTTTTTTAAAATACCAGTGCTGAAGTTCCTCTTTATACCAATTGAATCAGACTGTCTCAGAGGGGGCCCAGGTTTGATGCTTTTTAAAAGCACCCTAGGTGATTCTAAGCTGCAGCCAGGATAGAAACCTGAGTCTGAAGCCTAATTCCCATGGCTGCTGTCAGTAATGGAAGTGGGGAAAGACGCTGCTGTTTTGAAGTGGGTCAGAATAGAATAGTCTTGCTTTTAATTGCTAAATAATGAGTATTCATTAAATGGATCTTGACTTTTTTTTTTTTAAATAGAGATTGGGTTTCACTATGTTGCCCAGGCTGGTCTCAAACTCCTGAGCTCAAGAGATCCGCCCACTTCAGCCTTCCAAAGTGCTCAGATTACAGGTGTGAGCCACCACACCCAACCTAGATCTTAATTTGAAGTCAAAAGTACTGATTGATAAAAGTACTTATCAGTTATCAATCAGTAACTTATAACTTATGAATAACTTATTTATGGAAGACTGACTAAACAAGATGACAGTAATTGTCAATTTTTTTTTAAGGGCTAAATACAGCTTCTGACCCCCTTGACCAGGTGGAAGTTTTCCCTGAGGATTCAAATATTAGTGCAGGAATCATGCTGCATTTTACTCCCTATGGTTCCCCGAGGATACTGATCCATTTTTTTTTTTTTTTTTTGAGACGGAGTGTCACTCTGTCACCCAGCCTGGAGTGCAGTGCAACAATCTCAGCTCACTCAACCTCCGCCTCCTGGGTTCAAGAAGTTCTCCTGCCTCAGCCTCCTGAGTAGCTGGGACTACAGGCGTGTACCACCACACCCAGCTAATTTTTGTATTTTTAGTAGAGATGGGGTTTCACCATATTGGTCAGGCTGGTTTCGAACTCCTGACCTCAGGCAATCCACCTGCCTTGGCCTCCCAAAGTGCTGGGATTATAGGCATGAGCCATTGCACCTGGCCGATCTGTGGCCTTTTTAACAACCTGTGGTTCCTGGTTCTGGTGCAAGACAATGGTGGGTCACCCGTGGAGACTGGCCACTATCTGCAGTCCTTCTGGAAGCACTTGAACCTTGAGCTAAGTTGAACAGGAGTGACCTGGGACCCCAAGGTACAGTCATGGGAAAAGAGACCAGGTTTTGTGCTGGTCTGATCCCCACCACTCACTCTTTGGACATGCTAAAGCTTCTCTGAGCCAGTAGAATGAGAGATGGGGAAAGGGAAGCAATTTTTATTAAATGCCTCTTCTGACCAGATGCTGTACGTGGGTGATCTTCACCCTCAGAGCAGCAGTTCTCAGCCCTGGCTGCACATTGGAGTAGCCTGGGAGTTTTAAAAAGCCTCAATGCCAAGGCCACAGAACCACTTCAATCACAGTCTGTGGGGGTATATCTCAAGCATCATAATTTTTCAAAGCTGAGAACCATTACCATCAATCCCTGTTTACAAATGAGGAAAATGAAGGCTGGGCTGTAAGTCTTAAATCTGACCACCTCGGATTCCTCAGCTCCTCCGCAGTCTGGCTCCCCTGAAGTCCAGCTTCAGTTTTTTGAGACCAGCAACTGGTTGTTGTGTTCAAGAGGGAGTTTCTTATTTAGCCAAGTGTGTTAAACACGTGAATTAAGGTCTTGATTCTTGATTCGATCCACTTACTCAGTATAGTTAGGCAAATTACTTAACTCCTCTGTGTTCCAGTCTCAAATGGGGGTAGTTACCAAGCTGCTTACAGAGCCGTCTGGGGAGAAATCGTGGGAACAAAAGCTCTTTGGAAATATACATGATCACACAAACACTGTCCTTACAGCAGAACAGTTACGGCCCACTGACACTTACTTCTACTAATTTCAGGGCTGTCAAGAACATGAGCCTTGCTTTGACTTCTGATGCTAGTGTCAGATTTTTGCCTCAAGTATCAGGTTGAGAAGGATTTGCCAAGAGTGGAGTTACCCATCAGGGGTGAGTGATGGTGGGGTGCAGCTACTGTCCCTGGGGTCACTATAGCCCAGTGGAACTGCTGCCCCCTTCTGCAGTAAGCCCGGGACCTTCCCTGGATAACCCACCCTCTCTGTCCTTGGAGCCCACACGCTGGGGAAAGAGTGAATGAATATCTACCCTAATGCTTGTTTATATGTACATATATAGTTACTGCATATGTACCAGGTATACAGCATGTTTATATGATATATAAATAATATATAACGATGTATTAATTTGCATGTATATTAATATATATAGACACAGAATTCTTCTCTGTCTTTGATGTAAAGGCTATCGAAGGATAATTGCCTGACATGAAGTTTACCTGGAAGTGATTGTTTTTTCTCCAGGATTCATTTTTTCAGTTTTGCACATGTCCCAGGGGTGACCCCTTTTATGAAAGGCCCTAGGTCTCTGATTCTTGACTTAGGAGGGAGGCTGGGGATAAGGGCACTGGGGCAGTGGGAGAACTAATGAAAGAATATGAGCTTGGTGGTAACTGGGCATTTCTTTCCTCAAGGGTGGTGATGTTGATGAGATGTCCTCATGACCACGGGCCTCCCGTGTGTCCATGGAACAACAGGTAGATTCTAACCATCTCCTTCCGGGGTCCACCTCAGATCAGAGGGTCTCCAGGTCTCCACCCATCCCACAGGCTGCTTCACCCATGGCTAAGGACAAACAGGCTCACGGTGGGTGCCTGGGCAGATGCGCTGCTGGGTTACAGCTGCCCTACAGTCACGAATCCCTGTGCTGGGTGATTAGCACTGTTTGTGTCATATCCTTCAAGGCAAGAAGGGGACCCAAACCCCATGCAGACCTAAGCATGGAGGCAAGTTGGTGGGGTTCACTCTGCACGATACAAGATGGTCCCACTCAGAGACTCCTCACAGGAGTGGAGAGGTGTGACCCTCTGTATTTAATACTCACCCCATGCTCAATATTTCTTTGAAGTCTCATCTCCAAAATTCAAGCACATTTTTCATTCTACTCCTACAGTAGTCATTGGCTTGATATAAAAATACTTACCAACTTAATTACTTGACTCTTTTCTGCTAAACCTAGACATTCGAGAAAGCTGAGCCATGTCTGTCCTGTGGTTTCTGCCCCTGATATGTCATCATGCAACTCCTTCCCAGCCCGAGAAGCCTGAGCCTCAGTGGACCTTGGTTGCCTCCCCCTGCCTGGGGACCCTTTGGGGGATGAAGGCGTCTGTCCAGCACCTCCGCCCGCACTCTCCACGGCCAGTGAGGGCCTTACCTATGTTACAGTGCTCGCCAGTGTAGCCAGGGGGGCACAGGCATATGACATGACCCTCTGTCTCCTTGCAGGTCCCAGCGCCACAGGGCTCCTCTGCACAGGACCTGGTGGGGGCTGCAACCCCCAGGGGAGAGGTTGAGCATCAAGAACACAGTCACCTGGCTACCATGGCCTCTAAGACCTCAAAGTTGGGGCATGAGGTCCCTGAAGTCCACGAGGCTGGCTTTGGGTCAGCACTTTTCCGGGGCCTGTGTCCCTCCTGGGCACCTGACCCACAGCATCGGGGGGAGCTCTCCAGCTGTGAAAGCTCTCTCAGCACAAAGGAAGATACAAGGGACCCCAGAGCAAAAAAACAAAGGAAAATCAGCTACCAGTGCCCACTGCCCGGCATATGGGGTTATGTCACAGTGAGACAATCATGACAGTTCAGGAGCCCCTTTGTGCAGGGATGGGGTTGGGGATGAATCTAAAGCCAGAGAGCCAAATGACATTTCATAGTTCCTTAAATTGTGCAGGTTTTAACCCTGCACAAAATAAATATTCAGCCACAAACACCATCAACAGATTTACTCTCTCATCTCACACTCACTCCGGGGCAGGGTGCATGAGCAGAATTTCTAGCACTAGCTAAACAGTCATCCTTCTCTCCCTGTGCCAAGTACAGATAGTTGAATTCACATGTGAAAACTCATGGACTGTAACTCTGCTGTAACAATAGCATCACTAATCTTTGTAAGTGTGCACTGTATGCAGAGTGTGATGCTAAGTGCTTGCTTTATCTATGTTTCTGTTCTGCTTAATCTTCCCTGGTATAGTATTATCCTACTCTTGTTACAGATGAGGCTCAGAGAGGTGAAGACTATTGCCTGAGGCTGCACAGCTAACCTGTGGTGGAGCTGTTCTTGGAACCTTAAAGCTACGCTGTCTCCTTCTGTGCTACAGTAGCCTACAGTGTGAACTACCCAAGCACATTTAAAGGGGGAAAAAATTCCAACAATACCTGCAACAGTTGACTCCGATTCACCTGTCCATTCTGGAGAAGCTGGGATGGAAGCATCTGTTGGGGAGGTGGCTGTTTCGGCTGTGTGAGTCTCTTCTCCTGAGTACAGGAGGCTTGAGGACTCAGTTTCTAGATGCGCCTCTGCAGGGCGCTGGGTCTGCTGGGTCCACTCAGACTCTGGGATGCTGGTGCTGATGACAATGCCCAGCCCCGAGGTATGACCAGACAAGTCTCCGCTGATTTCAGTCCTATCTCCAGAAGCCGTGGGAGTGGCTGAAGGCAAGCCTGGTGCCTCTGTCCCCACATCACCGGTGGTGGTAGATTCTCCACTCACTTCTGGGGAAGCTGACGGCTCGCCTTCTTGAAATGTCGAAGTGCTGCCGCTCACTCCTAGGCCAGAGGATCTCTCAAGGTCAGCTTCATGGAATGCAGAGGTGGTTTCACTCAGATCAGGTGACCCAGAATCTTCTCCGCTGGTCTCAGGGGCAGCAGATGCCCCAACTCCAGCCTCAGGATAGGCGGACGTCTCACTGCTAGATTCTGGGACTGATGACACTTCTACTCCAGACCCAGGGAGCACTGGGGTAGCTCCACTAATGTCCCCAGCTGCGGAGGCTTCTCCACTGGACTCAAAAAGCTGGGGTGTGTGTGTCACAGGAGGCCTTTGGCCAAGTTCCTGAGAAACAGTTGGTTCAGTAACACCCTCCATGAACTCAGAAGTGATTAAAGTAACTTCTGGAAGTCCCGAGGCCTCTCCACTGGTGCCCATGGCTGCAGAGGATTCTCCACTTACATCGGTGGTGCTGGCAAAATCCCCACTAAAATATGGGGTACTTGGTGGCTCTCCACTGGGCTCTACCAGCCCGAACTGCAGCCCGCTTAGGTCCAGAAATCCAGAATGGTCCCCAGACATGTCTGGTGCTCCAGAATGAGTACCACTGAGTTCTAAAATGCCAGAAGGCCCTTCTCCTGCCTCTTGGGCTGTTGGAGCCTGGGTTACAGATTCCACCAAAGTTCTATCTACAAGAGAGACAGTGGGGAAACCAGATGGAAGTCCACTGCCATAATATGCTCCCGAGGGCAGGCTGCTCCCAGTCTCAGCTCCAGAGGATTCTCCACTGACCTCAGCTATGCCAGTTGGTAGGCCACTGAATTCTGGAGTCTGGGATGTAAACCCACTGGAATCGACTGTTCCAGAAAACTGTCCGCTGACATCCACCATCCCAGATCTGCCTGACAGATCTGCCTCTCCGGAAGGGAGGCCACTGAGTTCCACAGACCCTAAGCCTTCCTCTTCTTTAAATGTAGTAGGGGTCACTTCAACCAAACTGGTGTCCACAAATGTAATGCCAGAAGATTCACCACTGCCACTCGTGGCACCAGAAACCAGGTCAGGGACTCCTGATGTTGCCCCACTGAACCCTGGTAACCCTGAAGGCTGCCCACTGAGATCAGGGACCCCGGATGTTTCTCCACTCAGGTCGGTTATGCCAAAGGGTTGACTACTGCCATAAGGAACCCCAGATGCTTCTCCACTAACACCTGGTTGTCCAGAGGAGAGCCCGCTAAGCTCAGTCACTCCAGATGTTTCCCCGCTAGTGTCAGGAAACCCTGATGGCTGCCCACTAACCTCAAAAATCCCAGATGTCCCCCCACTGATGTCAGGAAACCCTGATGGCTGTCCACTGACATCAAAGAGTCCAGGTGTTTCCCCACTGACATCAGGAGACCCAGATGCTTGGCCACTGAGTTCAGTTCCTGAAGGGAGTCCACTAGCTTCCCCACTAATGTCCAGCTCACTGGAGGGCAGCCCAGATATTTCTCCCGCACCACTGATGCCAATGGTTCCCCTCCCTTCCAGTTCACTTGCAGTGGAGGCTGTGACCACTTCCACCAATGTAGAATCCACTAGGGAAACAGTTGGGAATCCAGATGGAAGTCCACTAAAGTCAGGCAGGCCAGAGGGTGGGCCACTTCCAAGGTCCACCCCAGAATACTCGCCACTAAACCCAGAGGGAAGGCCACTTGTTTCTGGAGCTTGCCCACTTCCTAGAGTTCCAGAAGGCAGTTTTCCCAAGTCCAAGTCTCCAGAAGCTGGACCCACCAAGTCTTCTTTTCCAGAAGGCAACCCACTGAGGTCCTCAGCTCCAGAAGCTGAAGTCTCTAGACCCTCCCTTCCAGAAGGAAGTCCACTGAGGTCAGTCCCTACTCCAGAAGCAGAGGTCTCTAGACCTTCTCCTCCAGAAGGAAGTCCACTGAGGTCCCCGACTCCAGAGGCAGAAATCTCTAGAACTTCTCCTCCAGAAGGAAGTCCACTGATGTCCCCTACTCCAGAGGCAGAAGTCTCTAGAACTTCTCCAGAAGGGAGCCTGCTGAGGTCCTCTACTCCAGAAGCAGAGGTCTCTAGACCTTCTCCTGAAGGAAGTTCACTGACATCCTCTATTCCAGAGGCAGTAGTCTCTAGAACTTCTCCAGAAGGAAGCCCGCTGATGTCCTCCACTCCAGAGGTAGAAGTCTCTAGAACTTCTCCAGAAGGAAGCCCACTGATGTCCTCTACTCCAGAGGTAGAAGTCTCTACAACTTCTCCAGAAGGAAGTCCACCGAGGTCTCCTACTCCAGAGGTAGAAGTCTCTAGAACTTCTCCAGAAGGAAGCCCACCGAGGTCTCCTACTCCAGAGGCAGTAGTCTCTAGAACTTCTCCAGAAGGAAGCCCACTGATGTCCTCTACTCCAGAGGCAGTAGTCTCTAGAACTTCTCCAGAAGGAAGCCCACTGATGTCCTCTACTCCAGAGGCAGTAGTCTCTAGAACTTCTCCAGAAGGAAGCCCACTGATCCTCTACTCCAGAGGCAGTAGTCTCTAGAACTTCTCCAGAAGGAAGCCCGCTGATGTCCTCTACTCCAGAGGCAGTAGTCTCTAGAACTTCTCCTGCAGAAGGCAGTCCACTAAGGTCCCCTACCCCAGAGGTAGAAGTCTCTAGAACTTCTCCAGAAGGAAGTCCACTGAGGTCTCCTACTCCAGAGGTAGAAGTCTCTAGAACTTCTCCAGAAGGAAGCCCACTGAGATCTCCTACTGCAGAGGCAGAAGTCTCTAGAACTTCTCCAGAAGGAAGCCCACTGAGGTCTCCTACTCCAGAGGCAGAAGTCTCTAGAACTTCTCCAGAAGGAAGTCCACTGAGGTCCCCAACTTCAGAGGCAGAGCCCTCTAGGATCTCAGCTCCAGAGGGCAGTTCACCAACTGTAGGAGTGCTGGACCACTCAATTCTCTCTTCATCCCCTGAGGCTAGTCCACTGTCCACAGGCAGGCCTGAACCCACTGTGGAAGTAAGACCACTGGAGTCAAGGTCTCCAGAGGGCAGTCCACTTGCCCTGTCCCCTGACAGCTGCCCACTGAAGTCAAGGTGTCCTGAAACGTCTCCACTGCCTATGAAGTCACCACTGACATCAGGGGCCCCAGATTCCTCCCCAGAGCCTGGCAGCTCAGTCCAGCTGGGCACCGGGGGTGAAGGTGTATATGGCTCTTCTGAGGCTGATGGCTCCTCTGAGGGGGACGGCTCCTTGGAGGGGAATGGCTCCTCCGAGGGGGACGGCTCCTCTGAGGGGAATGGCCTCACTGAGGGGAATGGTTCCTCTGAGGGTGATGGCTCCTCCGAGGGGAATGGCACCTCTGGGGGGGATGGTTCCTTTGAGGCAGTAAGCACTTCAGTTGCAGAAGGGCCTTCTGTGCTTTCCTCTGTTGCTGTGCCAGTGGGAGGCCAAGTAGGAAGGATCCCTGTAGGAAAGAAGGAAGAAAGATGAGGTGTGAGTTTATTAACTCTGTCCCATTTTAAGCTCATACATAGAATCTAAACTCCATTCTTTCCACAGTAAAATTTTTCTCTCAAGAGCTCAGCAACATGTCCAAATGCTTTCTTTTTTTTTTTTTTTTTTGAGGTGGAGTCTCACTCTGTCGCCCAGGCTGGAGTGCAGTGGCGTGATCTCGGCTCACTGCAAGCTCCGCCTCCTGGGTTCACGCCATTCTCCTGCCTCAGCCTCCCGAGTAGCTGGGACTACAGCTGCCCGCCACCGTGCCCGGCTAATTTTTTGTATTTATAGTAGAGGCGGGGGTTCACCGTGTTAGCCAGGATGGTCTTGATCTCCTGACCTCATGATCCGCCCGCCTCGGCCTCCCAAAGTGCAGGGATTACAGGTGTGAGCCACCACGCCCGGCCCGTCCAAATGCTTTCTAATGGAACTGTGTAAAGTGTCTTGGAAATGAAGAAAGGAAGGAAGGAAGGAAGGAAGGAAAGAAGGAAGGAAGGAAGGAAACAGGAGGATAGGAGAAAGGAAGGAGGGAGGTAGGGAACTGGGAAGCCCCGCCAACTGCCCACAGGGACATGGGCTACACAGGCTGTACTTTGTGTGAGATGCGGGGGCCACCATCCACACAACCCACTGGATGTGGGGGCCTGGCCACCATTGAAGACCACCAAGGTCATCCTGCAAGTATTTCCACATTACCATCTTATTGATTTGGTCCCATGGTTTTCAAAGCTTGGACTCGCAGAACAGCATCCTCTGGGAGCTTGATAGAAAAGCAAATTCCTAGACCTCACCTCAGCCCCACTGATTCAGCAACTCTGGGAAGGAGCCCGGCATGCTGTGTTTTAGCAAGCCCTCCCTGTGATGCTGGGACTTTTCAGTGTAAGAACTGTTCATTTTAAGCCATCCTTCTGAGGAAGAAAGGGCCAGGTGATGATGTTTGTAAATTTATACAGTGACTTGTTTCCAATTCTGAGAACACTATTATAGACAATTTGAAAAATAGAGAAATGAAAAAAGGAAAACCCAAAATTCCAACTAATCAAGGCTACATTCTTTGCTTTAGTTCTTCTTTCCTTTGGCATTTGAAAAATAACCACACTGCATTTTAACCTTGTACGTACTTTGGGGCCTACTTCCCAGGTGGGGCCCCTGAGCACTAAGGGTGCTGGGTCCACTGGGCAGGTTTAGTTTGTTCTTGCTGAGAGGAGAATCTTAGAGGGGGAGGTGGGGCATGAAGAATAGCGGTGGTGCCATGCAAAAAAAAAAAAAAAAAAAAGTTAGCTGGGCAGGACCCAAAAAAGATGATTTTTATTTTGATAGGTATATATGTATGTATGTATGTATCTATGTATCTATCTATCTATGAAACACACCAGGATGACCATGTGCAGTCATAATATAACAGTTCCCTCTTAAATAAATTTACATTTCTTTCTTTCTTTCTTTCTTTCTTTTTTTTTTGGAGACAGGGTCTCGCTCTGTTGCCCAGGCTGCAGTGCGGTGGTACCATCTTGGCTCACTGCAACCTCCACCTCCTGGGTTCAAGTGATTCTCATGCCTCTGCCTCCTGAGTAGCTGGGACTACAGGTGTGTGCCACCACACCTGGATAATTTTTGTATTTATAGTAGACAGTGGGTTTTGCCATGTTGGCCAGGCTGGTCTTGAACTCCTGGCCTCAAGTGGTCCTCCCACCTTGGCCTCCCAAAGTGCTGGGATTACAGGTGTAAGCCACCATACTCAGCCCTACATTTCTTTTTTTTAAAGCAAGTCAACTTAAAGAAAAATACATGGAGCAAATGAAAGTGCAGATGGTTCCCAGATATGGCTGAAATCAGCAAGGTGGTCAGGAACTGAAGTCTAGAAAACATTTCTAGCAGGCTGCTGGAGCCACTTTCTCACTGGTAACTCCCCACTAGTGGTTGCCAGAGTCCTGTGCAAAGTCATATCCTGATGCCAAAGAGGACTCAGTCATTCTTGTCCTGGTGAGGGCGAGGAAGGCCACAGGCAGGTGTGACTGCTGGGTGAGGCTGCTGGCCAGACTCTCCCCTGCTCTACAGAGGCATCCTAACCTTCTGATATGGAGGGAGGCCAGGCTTTGCATCTCCAATGCCCAGAAGAGGGCCTGACACCACCAGATTGCTCTGGAACCATGCACAGAATGCTGATGCATGGCTGGATGAGTTAGTGGGAGCTTGGATACACTCCTTTTTTCAGATGCACATACCCCCAGGGAAACCGACTCTACCAGGTATACACATATACTACTGTACATTGTTTTAAATCAAGCTTACCCCAACTGGAAGCTGCTAGATACTAACAATGCTCTATGGTAAGGTTCATTTGGGACACACCACATCTATCACCTCCTCTTGGAGATTTACAGTGCGTATTAGCATATTCAAAGCTCTGAGAAGGTCTGCAGTGAGGAAACCTGTTAATCTCTGTAAGCCAGCATTTCCCAAACCTTAGTGGCCACAAAACACTTTATCCAACAAGCTTTCATCCTGTTAAGTATCATCTGGTTTAATTGTGACAGATGGAGTTCAGGAAGTTCTGGCTGAGGAGGCCTGGCCCAGAAGAGGGACATGGAAGGAGGAGAAAGGCAAGGAGACAGGTCACAGTCAGACTTCCAACAGTAACCCCCTCCCTGGTTCTTTCTCCCACGAGAGAGGGTTGAAGTTAGGGTAAGGGTGTCAGTGAAAGAGGACAAGGTAACTGAGGGCCCTCTGATCAGCACAGTCCTGGGCATTTGGGGGTTCATGCAAGGGAAATAAGGGCCAGAACAGTAAATGTGTATAGAAGCATTTTATGAACAAGGCTGTTTTTGTCACTCTGGGGCAGGTCCTAGAGGTCAGTTGAGGTGGCTAAAGTTGCCCACAGCAGCACACCCAGACGGTGTCAGGGCTGGGGAAACAGCACAAATCCCAGGGAGGGAAACCTCCCACCCCACCAGGCACACTGTAGGCAGACAGGGGCATGCAGCTTCAAGGTGTGCCCCAGAACCCAAACCATACCAACCTGGCAGCGGGGATGTGCCCATTGGGGTGTAGGCTGGTTCCCATTCTGTCTGGTTTTCTGGCTCAGTGGTGAACTCTAGGATGGCAGTAGTCTCCCCTAAGGGTACAGCAGTTGTCTCCTCTTCTACAGGGACAGCAGCCACACCAGGCACCACTTGGGTAGCGATCCAGTCCTCCACACCAGAGGGTGATGTGGGTGTGCCACCCTCTTCTTCTCCTGGAGAAGGAACCGCCGAAACCCCTAAAGGAGATGTGGGTAGTGAGAGTGAGTCCCTCTTTTACCAGTGACCCGTCCATGGCTGGCCCTTCTTGAGAGAGCTAGGGGACTCTGAGGTGGGCCAGGCCCCACCACCTAGTTCAGCGGATGGCTGTTTGCCTTCTCGCTTAGTAAGAGCCATTGGCACCAGTGATACACTATCCATATGCACCATCAGCAGTTTAGTTCCGGTGATCTGGGTCATCTCCCCTGCAGAATCGATCATACATGCCAGGCATTGCTATAAAGGCTTATGTATACAAAATCACTTTATCTCACAACAGCTTTATGAGAGAGATATGATTAATCTCATTTTACAGATGGGGAAACTGAGGCACAGAGTTACATGATTTGCCCAGGGTCAATGGCTTACAAATGGCAGATCTAGTCTTTGAATTCAAGCATCTGGTGCCAGACTCCATGCTCTCAACCGCTGAACAACGCTGCCGATCTTAGGGACAGGGATTATGTTCCAAGTGTGTCAGGACTAAAAATAGGAGGATGGTGCTTAAATTCCATGAAACCATCTCGGCATTTGAAAGTGTGAAGGTAGGATTCATGGGCTGGGGGTAAGTGTTCTGGCGTGGGGGGACCAGCAGTGGGAATGGTCAGCAAGGAAGCTGAACTGTGCAGGATAATATACAAGGCTGAGTTCACGGAGGGTCAGGAGTGGGCGGCTGGGGGTAGCATGGCTGGGAACTTCCTGGGAGGCTAACTGGCTTGGCTTCTGCTTCCCAGAGCAGGGAGACGGGCACTGGTACAAGAGCCTCATCAAAGCCTCTGGGAGAGAATTGAGCTTGACTTTTAGAGTCTGGCTGAGTGGGGCTGAATTTCGAATTTTTTTTTTTTTTTTGAGACAGAGTCTTGCTCTGCTGTCCAGGCTGGAGTGCAGCAGAACAATCTTGGCTCACTGTAACCTCCGCCTCCCGGGTTCAGGAGATTCTCCTGCCTCAGCCTCCCCAGTAGCTGGGATTACAGGTGCACACCACCAAGCCCAGCTAATTTTTGCACTTTTATCAGTAGAGACAGGGTTTCGCCATGTTGACCAGGCTGATCTTGAACTCCTGACCTCAAGTGATCCACCTGCCTCAACCTCCCAAAGTGCTGGGATTACAGGCATGAGCCACTGCTCCTGGCCTTGAATTGGGTTTTAAAAGTGACCCTGGATTTCTGGGAAACTTGGGGACACTCAAGTTTTTTCCCCTTAAGTTTATTTGAGAATAATTATAGATTCACAGGAAGTTGCAAAGACACTTTGCAACTTCACAGGAAGTTGCACAGGAAGACAAAGACACTTTGCAACTTTCACAGGAAGTTGCACAGGAAGTTGCAAAATAGTTTTGATGTAAACTATCTAAAACATGGCACAGGCTGTTATTACAATCTACATTCTGGTCCATGCACCCAGACCCTCCATGGACTATGCAGGAACTCATCTAATCAGAGCCCAGCAATTCCTTGGCTGCGGCCTGGCCATGCTTATTATATTGCTTGATGACACCACTCTCAGAAGTCCAATGGGGAGTGATGGTTGAAATGGTAGCATATCCATAGCATGGGTCAACAAAAAACATGAATCATCAGTGCTTAGTGAAGAATAATAGAATAATTTGACTAAACTCATCACAAAAATATTTGCAAGCAGGAGAGAATTTGACAAGGATGTTCAAGTTACAGGTTGTATAAAATAAAGCTGTATATTACAGCTTTACATATATATAAGTATACGAAATAAAGCAAACATTTATTGAGCATTTACTGTGTCCCAGGCACTATGCCAAGGGCACCACGTGCACTCAATTAATTCTTGCAGCTCTCTCTGAAGTAGGAACCATTATATCTCCATTTTCACACAGCTATTAAGTAGCAGAACCATAACTCAGATTCAGGTCTGCCTCATTTCTAGTACAGATAAACACCAGCTCAAGCCCTTATTTATCTCTGCTTGTCTCTGGGGAACTTTAGAAGGATGACCTTGCCTTGGGGTCAAAGCCTACGCTGTGCTGGTTTCAGAGCTGGTTCTGCCCCAGAGGGACTGACTTTTTCTTGCGCTGATGGATGGGAAACTGGGTGGTGGCAGGACGGGGTGAACCCAGGTCTCCAGACAAAAGAGGCTGCTGGAGCCGAGGCGAGGCTGCATACCTCGGAAGCAGAAGGCATGGTGCCGGGACAGTGGGTCCGGAAGGCCCGTCTGGTTAGGGTAGAGGTAGACCGTTCTCACGCCTGGTTTGTCCCCACCGCAGGCAGGCCTTGGGGTGACGATGGGGTAGCGGAGGCTGCCATCGGCCAGCCAGCCAGCATAGCACTTGTCCAGGCCGCGGCTCCAGGCGGCGTAGAGCTGGCCCGTGGTGGCCAGCGTGGCATTGTGAGATTCACAGAACTCCAGTGCTTCCTGGAAGGTGAACTGCTCAAGACGTGTGGCGAAGAACACCTCCCCTGGGGGCAGAGACAAGCGGTAGGATATGACCCCCCCACACTCAGGCCAGGTCAATCCCTGCCCACCCAGGACAGAGCTTCTCCAACTCTCCTTACCAGGGCTAAGACTCAGCCCAGCTCCATCACCCCTTCTTTGACCACTCTCCCTTAGATTTTCTGGAACCCTGGGAAATAGGTGACCACCGCTCTGGTTTGTACTGGACTGGGCTATCCTGGGACACAGGACTTTCAGTGCCAAAAAAGTCAAAATTCCAGTCAAACTGGACTGAGTTGTTTCCACAACAACTTTTCCTCCTTCCCTCTTTTCTGGATTTTCCAGTCACACTTAGGCATCCCCTTCCTTGGCTAAGCAAGGCGGCTCACCTGGGCCCCCTCCAATCCCTGTGCACCCCTATACCACTGCACTTAACACTGTGACTGCTGTGGACCTGCCCACCCCACACCCTGGGAACTCATCCAGGGTAGGGCTGGGTTGCAGCACCTAGCAATGCACCTGATACCTATCCGGTTCAGGGCTAGGAGAGTTTACACTTACTGAACACCTACTTGTGCCAAGAACTTTTCATACATATCTCATTTAATACTCAAAAAAACCCTCTGATGTACATATAAATCACTCCCATTTTTATAGATGAAGGAGCTGAGGCTTAGAGAGGTTAAGTGACTTGCCCAGGGTCTTGAAACAAGTGAGTGGCAATGCCAAGATCTTTCTGGAATACCAGCATTTCCAAAATTGCATTCAGTGGAAATTTGGTAATTTTCATGGAAATGGAAAGAAATGAAATAAAACAAAATAAAGGTCTGTGGTTAAAAATTGGGCAATGCTGAGTTAAAGAAAGTTAAGGAAGTTTTTCTTTTTCTTTCTTTTTAAATAAGTAGAGACAGGGTTTGGCCACATTGCCCAGGCCAGTCTCAAACTCCTGGGCTAGAGCAATCCACCCACACTGAGGCACCTCTGCCTCCCAAAGTGCTAGGATTACAGGTGTGAGCCACGGCGCCCAACCTAAAGAGGTTTTTTTGTTTTTGTTTTTGTTTTTACTGCAGGACTTCTCAGTGCCTTTGATTTGTGCCCAGGCACTGGGAATCTCCAAGAAGGAGTTGGTGTATATAGCATTTATTTATAATAAACTGAGATTTACCCACAGACCTCACTGCTTTTTAAAGGGACGGATGCTCCCCTGCAATGCGGGAGGAGACCACAGGAAACATTCAATAGGAGAGCTGGGGCTGGATCTGAGGGAGGGCCTGGGGGCTTCCTTTTCAGCAGGACCCTTTCCCACCTGGAAAGCTGGGTGGGATCAGGGGTGGGTGGGTGTGTGGTAACCCCCTCTCTTCTTTGTATCACCCTGTCAGCCCCCTGCCCACCCCCCTGCCCATCTAGGGCCCAAAATGTGAGAATGTGGCTGTACCCTCAAGTCTGTCCACATAGCAGTAGACATCGTAGGTCTCTGTTGACGGGCGCACGCCGTACGTCCTGACCCCTGGGCTGCTGTCCTTGTCACCCACGCATGGGGTCCGTGGGCTCACAATGGGGTATCTGCAAAGGAGAGTGGGAGGAGAAGATGAAGGCCTGTTTCGGGGGCTGGTAGATGCAGGGCCCTGGGCTGAGGCCAGAGGCCACTCAGGGACTTTGGTATGTCTTCAGTTGTCTGGTGGGATTCAAACTAGGAAGAAGCCCCTTATGCAGCAAGTTCTCTGGGCAGCCTGGGGAAAGGTCTGGTGGCTCCTGGGGGATTTCTGGCTTCAGGAGAGAGCAGCTGCATGGAAGGGCACTAGGTCAGGCTGGAGGGGAACGGGGCACTTGAGGAGGGGGCTGCTGCCTCTGTCTGATGGGGAGAAATGACCAAGAACTGAACATTACCCAGTGCCCTTCATCACCCTTTTGGGATATGCCTCAGTTGAGTCACTAATTAATTCATTAACCCACAAGGTATTGGGTGCTCAGTGTGCTGGGGGCCGTGCCAGTCTGTGGCTCCTTAAGCCTGACCTCTTCAGCTGGGTTTGGGCTGGGTGAGGAGCATGGCTTCACCTGACGGTCTGGTCCCTCAGCCAGCCGGCGTCACACTGCTCATAGCCTGCTTCGTAGGCAGCCTGGAGCTGCTCTGGTGAGGCAATGACTGCCTCGGTGCGCAGGCAGGCCTGCTGCGCCTCCTCAAAGGTCAGCGAGTAGCGGGTGGATCCTGGGCGGTAGTGGAATACGACCCCTGGGTGGGGAGGAGGGGGAGAGGAAGAGGGAGCAGTCAGGTTCGAGGACCCATGGTGTGCAGTTCCCAAGGCTCCATGGGCACAGAGGTAGGCCAACTTCTGCTGCCTGACATATTGGATTTATCAGGGCAATGCAAGCTGAAATCCCACTTGGTAGCCATGTGGGTGTGATGGTGGATGGCAGTGTCCATCTGCCCCTCCCCTGTGTGGGAACCCCACCAAGGCCATTATGGAACAAGGCCACACCAGAGTGTCCTTGTTCATAGACTTGAGTTTGGGAAGCACTGGGCTCTATGCTACCTGACATCCAACTCTCACACATGTATTAAGCACCTAGAACATTGTCATCTTAGAATAGGAGTTGGAAGCATTTTCTGGAAAGAGCCAAATGGTAAATATTTTAGGCTTTGTAGGCTATGTGGCTTCTGTAACAACTACAGTTATCCTTCGGGATCCAGGATGTCCTCAGATACCAAAATCCACAGAGGCTCAAGTCCCTGCTATAAAAGTGTACTATTTGTATAAAATCATCTCTAGATTACCTATAATACCTGAAACAATGTCAATGCTATGTAAGTAGTGGTTATACGGTATTGTTTTAAATCTGTATTACTTTTATTGTTGTATTGTTATGTTATTGTTTCTTTTCTTTTGGAAGATTTTCCATCCACGGTTGGTTGAATCCGGACATGAAGGACTGACTGTATTCAACCCCGCTGTGATTGTCCTCAGTTAGCCACAGACAACTTGTCCACAGATGGCTATGGCTTTGTTCCAATCAAACTTTATTTGTGGACATTGAAATTTGAATTTTATATAATTTTCATGTGTCACAAAATATTATTTTTCTTTTGACTTTTTGCCCCTATTTAAGAATGTAAAAGTCATTCTTAAGTCATGGGCCATATCAGAACAGCTAAACCCGGCCCACTGGCCACAGTTTGCTGGCCTTTGTCCTGGGAGGTCAGAGCAGTGAGAGACCTCAGGGGTCATCCAAGGCAGTGGTTTTCTAGTGGCTCTGTTTTGTGGGGGTGTCTGATGGGGCAAGGAGGGGCCCTGGACAGAAGGAGCCCCGGTTGTTCTCCACTCTACTTCCCTTAGATCTATGTGGCACATGTGTCCGCTTGATGTAGAGACTGGATTCCACATATGACCTCATTTGAAATAAATCCTTGGTGGCAAGAGTGTGGACCTGATAGTCTGGCCTATTGTTTTTGTTTCACAGATGAGGAAAGCAAGGTCTGAGAGGAGAGAACATTGTCCCAGGTGCCAGGTTAAGTAGAAGATACAGCCTTCAACTGCGGGAATCCCTTCCCTGCAGGCCAAGTTCTCTCCACTTGCCCCTGGATGCACCCACAGGGAGCTACTTACCCCCTGGCAAATGCGGCTGCCCAGGGACAGCGGTCACCTGCACGACGAGGTCCTCACTGGTGAATGCTGTGGCAGGGCCCAGGCCAGGTGTGGGAAAGCCCCAGGGCCTGGTGGCCTCTCCAGTCTCATTCTCAACCTCAGGGAAGGCAGTGGCCCCTATTTCAGGGGCAAACGTGAAGGGCTCCTCAGGTTCCAGGGGACTGGGGGAGACATCGAAGATGGGCTTTACAGTAAGGATCACACTGCCTCGGGCTTCACCCTCAGTGATGTTTCGAGGCAGTGGCAGCTCCATGTCAGGCCAGGTCACTGTCTGGACGGTGATGTCCTCCTCACCCCCTACTCCAAAGAAATTTTCTGGGATGTCCACAAAGTCTTCACCTAGGGGAGGGGCAAAGACAAGCTTTAGCCTCTCAGCCTGGGACCGGCTTGAGGGGGATGAGGAGTGGGCTGGAGATGAGCATGGCTCCTCCTCTTTCCCGGCTGGGGCAGGAGGGCACCATTGTGTGCCAGGGGCCTTGCCAAGCCCATTTCAGGGGTACTCAGCTATTGGCATTCATTGTAGGAGTCCCCACAGTTTCAAGATTGCAAAAGAGTACAAGAGCTATCAGAGGGCAAGATATTGACCAATGAGCTGACTGCTCATAAAGATCAGTTCCCACCCCAACATCCCTTCCTGCTCAACACAGCTGCTCCTTCACTCGTCTCATGAGCACCTTGCCAACTGTCTGATGCTATAACTAACCAACAGGACCAGGTAAGGCAGTTATAAAGAGAAATCAGAAAATCTTGCAGAAAGCGCAGTTTGTGAAGTTGATGAAGGTGTCTTTGGAGAACTGCCTGTCTCATAGTCATGGAAAAACGAGGGTCTCATGAAAGTGATACTACTTCCAAAAGAGTAGTTAGAATACCAAAAGGTTAAGAGAGGCTTCGAGGGGGAAATCCCAACTACTGTTGCAAAAGTAACCCTCTTCCTGTGAGATCAGGTTGTGGAAATGAAACATGTAATGAGTTATCATTGTGTTATTACCACTTATACCATAAAAGTTTTGCAACTCCTCATTCATGTGATGCATTGCTTTTTCCTCCAAGAATTAGCATGTAATTATGATTAGCATGTAATTATGATAGCATGTAACCCAAAATGTGTTAAATGGAAGATAAAAACGTACTTGAACATTTTGGTGTAATTTTTCAAAATAAAGTCCCCATCAAACTTTCCCCTACTCTTTTCAATAACATTTTGTGGCTGGGTGCAGTGGCTCATGCATGTAACCCCGCTGCGATTATAGTTACAGCCTCCCTTTGGGAGGCTGAGGCGGGTGGATCACCTGAGGTCAGGAGTTCAAGACTAGCCTGCTCAACATGGTGAAACCCCATCTCTACTAAAAATACAAAATTAGCTGGGCATGATGGTGCACATCTGTAATCCCAGTCTACCTGGGAGGCTGAGGCAGAAGAATCGCTTGAACCTGGGAGATGGAGGTTGCAATGAGCTGAGATTGCACCACTGCACTCCAGCCTGGGCGACAGAGTGAGATTCTGTCTCAAAAATCATAATAATAATAAAATAAAATAACATTTTGCCCAGTCTGGGCAACATGACGAGACCCCATCTCTACCAAAAGGAAAAAAAATTAGCAAAGCATGGTGGTGCCTGTATTCCCAGTTGCATGGGAGGCTGAGGTAGGAGGATTGCTTGAGCCCAGGAAGCTAAGTCTGCAGTAAGCTATGATTGCACCACTGAACTCCCGCCTGGATGACAGAGTGAGACTCTGTCTCAAAGAAAAACAAAAAAACAGAACACAACAAAACCCCTTTTGACCCTCCTTTTAGACACATTCAATTTAAAAAGGCAGACAGCAGCACCCTCCCATGGGTGCCAGGGTCTCATGTCTGACCCCCAACATCTTCCTAGGTGGGTACCCCATCTCCCCACTAGACAGATGAGAAGAGTGAGGTTCACGGCCTTGACTTTGCCAGGGTTGCACAGTAGTAGGTGACAGAGCTTTGATTCAAACTGGAGAAAACAATTTGGAGGCTTTTAAGCCTCTTGTGTGCTGATCGGATGAGACAGAGCTGGATACGCTGCAGTCTCAAGAGTCTCCACCTTAGTGCTTCCCAGAAACCAGTGAAAATGGAGGGGTGTCCTAAAAACATGGGGTTCAGGTACCCAGTGGCCCTTTCGAGGGCAAAAACCAACCCTCCCTTTCCAAGATCTCCTCGTTCTCTAGGACCCCATTTTATTGGCATGAACTCCCTTCCCACCACCAGTCGTGCCCCACCTGTGTAGCAGATGGCGTCGTAGCGGGATGAGGGGTCAGGGTAGCCCGTCTGGTTGGCGTGAAGGTAGACGGTCCTCACGCCCAGGAGGTTGCCACCGCAGTTGGGCCGGGCCTTGGAGATGGGGTAGCGCACGCTGCGGTCGGCCAGCCAGCCGGCACTGCACATGTCCATGCCAGCCTGCCAGGCCAGGTAGAGCTGGCCCGTGGTGGCCAGTCGGGCACCCAGCCGCCGGCACTCATTGGCTGCTTCCTGGAAGGTGAACTTCTCTGGAGATGTTGCATAAAAGACCTCACCTGTGAAGGACACAGCCAGCTGGGTAAGGGTCTCCCCCCCCTCCCCTGCTCTGCACCCCCAGAGAGATCCACACTTTTCCACGAGGTCTGGGGAGTCCTCTAACTTCCCAAAGTCCTGGTCCCACATGTCTGTATCTCAGATCTTGCCCTTCATTACTTATTTCTGGGCTTTTGTGTAGGATGACATCAATTTCCTAAAACAAGGGGACCAAGAGAGAAGCAGCAAGAATGGCAGAGAGATTGGGCAAAGGGTGGAGCAAACTTAAAATCTGGGAGGAAAATTCTGCTCAAAAGCCTCTTTGCCCCATTTGTATTCCACCATTAGGGGGATCTTTCCTAGGAGTTAAGCATTGCCCACTCAAGGCAAATCCTTTTAAAAAACTCAAATTATCCTGGGAAAAGCAGGATCAGACCTTGAGCCCTTGGAGCAGTGCCTCCCAAACTGGGGTCTCTAGACTCTGAAGAGTCCGTAAGGGCATCATTTGAGGACTGTGAGCTTAAAAAAAATTTCCCAAAACCTAACAAGGTTGTGTCAGGGATAAGGGTAAGGCGTAAGGGTGGGGGCGGTGGGCATCCAGTCACAGGGGTGGTTCTGGCTACCCCTGCTCAGTGGCAGCTCTAACTGGCCGTTCTATTTGTCTGTGGTTAGCCAAATGTGGGAACACACAAATAACTTGTTACCGAATAGGCAGGTCTGCCCCCTGGGGTGGGAATGCGGCAGGGGGCTATGGTGGTGAGAAAGCCTGGCCGTGGCCCTTTACTCAGAAAGTGCCTGTTGTCAGCTCTTCTCCTCAGCCTGGAGGAGCTGTGGGCACTGTACTCAGGTGGGGGAAGCGGGGGGCAGGGAGGGAGGAGACAGGCATTGCAGAGTCTGGAATGTACAGAGGAGTATATGGGTGCAGATGGGGGAAAGGGTGTCATACACGTGTGTGGGTAACTCTGTGACCAAAATCAGTGCCCTTTACAAAACAGAAAAAGTCTAGGTTTCTCTCCGCCGCCCCCGGCTCTGTCCGGGAACAGAGCTGGGGTTGCCCACAGGGACGCTGGGAGAGGGTCGCTGGGTGGCCACCTGCCCTGGGAGCTTCGTTGCTGGTGTAGTGTCGCTTGTGAGGGTAAGGCTGGGCTGGACTTTGACAGCATGGTGGACCTTAGAACAGGGATGTGCTTGTCACAGCAGCCAGGGTTTCGGCTGGGAGGGGCAATCCCAGGTGAGAAACCTCCTGTGACACGTGCTCTTGGGTACAGTGGTGACACCAGACATTTTGCAGATGTTGGGGCCACTGAGACCCTCTCCAAAGTGGAGCGGGAGGGGTGCAGACCTGTGGCCTCAGCCCACCTCCCTTCATGGCAGAGGAGGACGGAGTGTGTCAGGCCCTGAGCTGGCACCCTGTGTCAGGGGGGAGATGGGGAGGGGAAGGGGGCCTTGGGAAGGGAGCTGGGTGCCTCCCGGTGGGCAGGGCAGCTCACCCTCCATCTCCTCGGCGAAGCAGTACACGTCATAGGTCTCGTTGGTGTCTCGGATGCCATACGTCCTCACACCAGGAAACTCATCCTTGTCTCCATAGCAGCCTTCCCGGGGAGTGTGGATGGGGTATCTGCCAGGAACCCGAAATGGAGGTGTGACACTCAGGGGACAAAGGGAAGCCCATGGCCTCTGCCCTTGAATCCTCCTCCCTCATGGGAGGAAACAGTGACTTAATATTGCATTTGACCATGTCTCTTCTGAATATGTCAACTGCCTATCCGTTTTTACAGTGAATCATGATTAAAGGCAGCCCCCACTACCCAATATTTAGTGGTACAAAACACACTTTCTCTATCAGGGGCTCATGTATTTTTTTTCTATAAAAGGCCAGACAGTAAATATTTTAGGTTTTGCATAGTCTCTGCGGTGACCACTCAACTGCCACTGTACCATGAAGCACCCACGGATATGCAAATGGGTGTGACTGTGTCCCAATAAAACTTTATTTACAGAAGCAAGGGGTGGGTTGGACTTGGCCTCTGGGTCATAGTTTGTTAGGCCTCGCTGTATATCATTTGCGTCTCACGTCAACCCAATGAGGTAGGTGCTATCATCAATCTACTTTACACTTGAAGAAACTGGGGCTCAGAGGTGTTAAACGATTTGTCCACAGTCACGCAGCTTCCAAGTGCCAGAGCTGGAATTTGAGTCCAGTTTTTTCTTTTTTTGAGATGGAGTCTTGCTCTGTCGCCCAGACTGGAGTGCAGTGGCACGATCTCGGCTCACTGCAAGCTCCGCCTCCCAGGTTCATGCCATTCTCCTGCCTCAGCCTCCTGAGTAGCTGGGACTACAGGTGCCTACCACCATGCCTGGCTAATTTTTTGTATTTTTTTAGTAGAGATGGGGTTTCACCATGTTAGCCAGGATGGTCTGGATCTCCTGATCTCATGATCCGCCCGCCTTGGCCTCCCAAAGTGTTAGGATTACAGGCGTGAAGCCACTGCACCCGGCTGAGTCCAGCTCTTTACGCCGCCCAGGTGTGGGCTCTTGCGCTGTGCTAGACTATTGTCTCATCTTTTTTTTTTTTTTTTTTTTTTTTTTATGGCTATAGTTTTTGTATCCTAAGATCTCTTTTCCTACCCCGAGACTGCAAAGACATTTTCCTTTGTTTTCTTCCTGAGGCTTTGTGGTTCTAGCTGTTGGAGCTATGGTGCACCCGAAATGAGTGATGATATCATCTTGCCTTCAGGCTTTGTGGTTCTGGCTGTTGGAGCTATGGTGCTCCTGGAATGGGTGATATCATCTTGCCTTCAGAGTGCATTGAGATCCCTTGAGGGCAGGGTCTATCTGGCCTGCTCCGCACCTCACTCCCCAGCAACTACACTCAGGGAAGGATGTATCAAAGGGTTCAATTTATGTCTTGCTTTATTAAAAATAAAAAGGATGGAAGGTTGTTTACAAAAATACTGAAGACATCAAAGTTTAAAAGTGAGGAAATCATGGCAAAGAAAAAAATGGGTAGGAAAAAATGACGCGTAGGGCAAGGTTGCTAGCAGTCCCTCATCCCATTTGCAAGAGAGAATCACAATAACAAGGGTTTGGGATGGGTCACTGAGCTCCTGTTTGGCCAAGGTATGACCACGGCCCCTAACCTAGACTGGCCACAGTGTCATGCTGGCACCAGCTCAGTCTGGCCAATGTTCCACTCAGCACCCGCTCCACTCCCCTGTGGCCCCTGACTCCTGGCCCCCACTCGCTGGTGGGCTGGGGCTCACCTGACAGTCTGGTCAGCCAGCCAGCCGGCATCACACTGGTGGAAGCCGTCTTCGTAGGCGGCCTGCAGCTGCTCGGGTGTGGCAATGATGGCACTGTTCTGCAGGCAGGCCCGCTGCGCCCTGTCAAAGTCGAGGGTGTAGCGTGTAGAGATGGCTCTGTAATGGAACACGATGCCTGCAAGACACATACACGCCCACAAGCGGAAGAGCTGGTCAGGCACAGTCTCTGATCACCGAGGCCCTCGCAGAATAGTCAAAGGGACTTTGGGGAACTAGCTGGTCCAGGCTGATGCATGACCCCCTGTACACCTTTGCATGTGATGCTTCTGAATTTGCTGGAACACCCTGTAATGGGGAGCTCACTATCTTACAAAGCATTCCTTTTTGAAGACTTATGATAATCCTGATAATGAGAAAGTTCTTTGAATTAAACTAAAATCTGCCTCCTTATAATTTTTTCTTTTCACTCCAAGACCCCCATATTGCGTTAGGGGAAAGAGACACTCAGGACCCCCTGCACCCTCAGCCCAGGGTCATCCTAGCAGAAACCCCATTTACGATGTGCCCAGGAGTGAACCGTCTTTGACAGAGCCTCCCACTGTACTTCCCCCTGGGAAAAATCTGGTGTTGACCGAAGTCCTGAAGCTAACCAAGGACCTGACTGTTCTCCTTGGGCCATAGAGAGAAAGAGACCAGGGAGTCTTCAGCCCTTGCTTTGGCTTCTGGAACTGAGAATGAGAGTGGAGAAGGGGAGGGAAAAGACACCAGGATGAGCTGTCAGGAGACTGCTCTGACTCATTTCCAGGGTAACCTCAGGCAAGTCACTTGACCTCAGTTTGTTTGTCTGTAAAATGGGCACGATCACAAGACCCACGGATCACAGGATTCTTGGGAAGCACAAACTGTCAGTTACCTGTGACCATAGCCAGGAAGTATTTAATGCTCCCTAAGTCCAGAGAGAATGACATTACCAGATCCATGTCACAGAGGAAGCAGCTGAAGTTAATTAAGTAACTTGGCTGAGGTGCGTGGAGGAGCTGGTTTGAAGGCCAGCCTGCCTGCGCCCGCACTGCAGAGACTGCTGTGGGTCTTTCTGCGGGTGAAGCAGCGTCTGTCCCTGTGGGAGGCTCTCACCTTTCACCACAACCTCCAGGGTGGCCTCGCTGTCCTCGATGCCATGCATCACCTCGCAGCGGTAGACCCCAGAGTCATTGGAGCGCAGGCTCTGGATTTCCAAGGTGGCGTCACTGGGGATGGCCGGGTAGTTGGGCAGCGAGACTTTGTCCTGGTAGGCACTGTTGACCCTCACGCGCCCTTCAGTGGCCACCAGCAGCACTACCTCCTTCTCCTTGGACACACGGCTCCACTTGATTCTTGGGGCCAGGGGGGCAGTAGAGGGGGCGGTGGTCACAGGGTGCATGGGGTCGATGAAATAGCAGGGGATGGTGAGGGAGGTCCCCAGGAGGACCCTCAGAGGGGATGGTTGGGGGATGCTGACACTCAGCGAGTTGTCATGGTCTGTGTGAGAGGGGTGGGGTGGAAGAGAGACTTGTTAGTGCCTAGAGAGGACCACCCCGCTTCCCCATCCATCCTTCCAGCAATGCACTCTCCTGAGAGAGCGAAATCCAATGAGTGTGTCTGTCTGTACAATGAGGATGCTCCTGTGCCATGTGGGAATCCCCAGGAAGGCTTGCAACGCCCTTTCCAGAGCAGCGTTCCTCAAGACCCCTGGCCTCTGCACCTCCAGAAGGAAACTATGGAGCCAGAAAAGGATTCCAGAGGAGGGCAGGGGAGATGTCAGGGTCAAGACCACCTCCCTGTTTCTCAAACTGGGGTACTGCAGGGGGCACCAAAGCATGGAATAAAACAGGACCCATCTACTTGGAGTGACAGCTTAACTCAAAGGTTTTGGGAAAAATTTTTTTGGGGTAGAAAAGTAATCTACACAATTTTAAAGCTGAGACAGAAAACTTCCAAGATGTGTCCCATTTGGGGAGGTCTGCTTTGGGTGCAAGCCTGACTTTGCCGCCGGGACAAGTCACTCTCTTCTGCTGTTTGGGAGTTGAGGGACGCGGGTGGAGAAGCAGCCGAGAAGATCAGACATTTTGGTGCGCAAAGAGTCAGATGCAGGAGAGGCGATGGGGTAGGATCAGACTCCAAAAATGTTAACATAATGGAAAGTGTCAATAGGGGAGGTGCAACAAGCTTACCAAATCTTGTTAGAAGTAAAAGATCTGCTGGGAATGGGGGGAAAAAAACAGCTTTCCAAAAAAAAAAAAAAAAAAAAAAAAACAAAAACACTTTCCAAAAAAAAAAAAAAAAAAAAGCAGCTTTCATGGAGACTCACACATGTATGAAACCTGTGCTTTCAGGAGAGCTTACAGGTTGAAATAAAAAATGTTTCAGACTGGGCGCGGTGTCTCACGCCTGTAATCCCAGCACTTTGGGAGGCCGAGGCGGGTGGATCATGAGGTCAGGAGATTGAGACCATGCTGGCTAACACGGGGAAACCCTGTCTCTACTAAAAATACATATATATAAAAAAATTAGCCGGCTGTGGTGGTGGGTGCCTGTAGTCCCAGCTGCTCGGGGAGGCTGAGGCAGGAGAATGGCGTGAACCCGGGAGGCGGAGGTTGCAGTGAGCCGAGATCACGCCACTGCACTCCAGCCTGGGCGACAGAGCAAGACTCCGTCAAAAAAAAAAAAAAAGTTTCAAATATTTGTGGGTGGTAGATACATCACAGGGCAAGGGCAGGGGAGCCAGGAATGCTTGGAGTCCAGCCCTTAACCTTCTGATGTCCCAGACAGTCCCACCAGCCCTTTCCACAGGCATCTTCCTCCGAGTGCTGGGCCCTTGCACCCTGGACATGGCTTGGTTTTAGCAGTAGTGGTTCTCAGGGGAGAGCTGAAAGGGACCGTGGTGCCCAGCTCAGCAGTTTTTAAAGCCTCACTCAAACCTAATGAACTGGTTTCCCTGTGTGGGCAGACCACCCCTGGGTACAGCCAGGGGCTGCATGGCTGTGGGTCTCCCAGTAACAGTACAAATGAAGGCCCTTGTCCCATATGTCTACAGATGCAAAAGTTGTAAATCAGGCCAACAGATTGTTAAGTTCTATGTCCTATCTTCCTATTTGACAATGATACCTTTCAAAATGACCTGAAAGAAAAGATTTAAATTCAGAATTCTTGGATTCCTTGGTGTTTTGCCTTGGGATATAGTGACTGGGTGAGAGCATGGGGAGCTGGGCCCCCTTCTTTTTCCCATACTGACTGCACTGTGAGGGGGTCTCATGTGCTGCTGTGCTGGTCTCAGCCCCACAGCCCTGCTCTGCCCACAACCCATACAAACAGCCACTCCTTAGCCCCTCCCTTGGGCCCAGGGTGGCTCCCACCAGAGGTGTCGTGTCCCCATAGGAGGATGGACCCATGCAGGCCCTGGATGTGGCCTGGGCCCATTTGGATAGGAAATTCTGGGCATCCTGGGACCCCAGAATGTGCTGTAAAGGAGAAGTGCAGATTTGGGTGGACACATTGGCCCTACTGACTCCCCTTCCTTTGGAGAGGGTTGAGGCTGGAGGAGGGCCAGTGGGGGCCTCTAAAATACACAGCCAAGAGCAGAGTCCTCTCTTGTCTGGGCCTAGGGGAGATATAACTTCCCTTCTGGGGTCAAGCCCATCCTAGGGTCAGTGGAAGGTTTGCTCATTTGGTCCAGTGCTCGATTAGCAGTAGACCCAGCGCCCGCCACATGCACGAGACCAGGCTGGGGCTTCCGAGGATGGTTTGCAAAAAAGGCACATACCTGTCTGACTCCCTGGGGCTTTTCTCTGGCTGTCTCTCAAGTGACCTTTCTTCTGTGGTGCTCCAGCCAATCCTCCCTCAATGGCCCTTTCTCCACTGGTTTGTCTATGTCCTGCCCCTCCTGCAAGCTCAGTGTGCAGCAGTCCTCACTGAGATCCATGGAGGGAAGGAGGACACCTGCCTGGACCTCTCCCTGCCAGCTGTCGGGGCTCGAGGGCAGCCAGGAGCAGTGTTATCTGAGCGAGGCTCCTGGACGCGTGTGCCCACGCATGGGTGCTGTCCCATCACAGTTATGCATGCATCAATAGGGGAAGGGTGGGGCCAGGAAAAGGCCAGGAAAGGGGAAATTATATCCCTGGGACCAGTAGCACCAGGATCAGTACCCAGTACTCAAACCCAGTACTCATGCCTACTGAATATGTGAGACTTGCATAGGAATGTCCTCACCTGAAGTTTCTACAGTGACAGCTGCAGCAATGACCCTCAGAGTCACGAAAACCCAGAGTAAAGTGGTCATAGTTCACCTGGAAGAGGGGAGGCAGAGGCATTATTTAGACAGTGAAGGCTTGGTGAGGTCAAGTAGAGTCATGTGACATACGATGCGAAGTGATAATTCCACACCCAAGGACCTGGAATCATCTCCAGAGGAGGAGGCTGCACATGGTTTGTGAGATATTTTCTTCAAGAATTCTTCCCTCACAAAACCTTCACAGGTTTCCCAGTTTAATTCCAGGCATTAGGTTAATAAACCTAACCTCCCATCTTTCAGCCAGTGAAGTCTCATCTGAATGAGTTCCTGTGATGGTTAATTTTATGAGTCAACTTGACTGAGCCGGGGCACCCAGACATTTGGTCAAGCATTGTTCTGGGTGTGTCTGTGAGGGTGTTTCTGGATGACATTGACATTGGAATCAGTAGACTGAATAAAGCAGATGGTCCTCCCTAATGTGGGAGGGTCTTGTCCAATCGGTTGAAGACTGAATAGAGAGAAAAGACTGACCTCCCCTGAGAGAGAGAATTCTTCGTGCTTGATGGCCTTTGAGCTAGAACATTGCTTTTTCTTCCCTTTGGACTTGAACTGAAGCATCAACTCTTCCTAGATCTCAAGCTTACTGACTTTCAAACTGAAACTACCCCAATCAGTTTGTGTGGGTCTCAAGCCTTCGAACTTGGACTAGAACTACACGCCAGGTCTCCTGGTCTAGCTTACCAACTTACCATGCAGACCTTGGTACTTGCCAGCCTCTATAATTGCATGAACCCATTCCTTATAATAATTCTCTCTCTCTCTGTCTTGTGCATGTGTGTGTGTGTGTGTGTGTGGGGGGTATGTGTGTGTCTGTGTGCATGTGTCCTGTTGGTTTGTTTCCTTGGAGAACTCTGACTAATACAGTCCTCCAGGCCCAGAGAAGTGATGAGTTGCTCAACACTCCTAATGAAACCTGGTCCTGCCACCAACTTCAAATCCAGAGATCATGTGTGTTTTAGAATGGACCAGCCTCCAAGGTTTCAGGCAAGATTTAGGGGCCTGGTGCATGGCAGGGAAAAGATATTCACCTAGAGAGCTCTTGAGGAGGCTGTGGGATGAATGGATTAATATTTTAGGAGAGAAATTAGACCTAGGATGCTGTAGCTCTCCTGCTAGTTCAATGACTTCATGTGGATTAGAAAGACAAACCTTCCTTAGTGTCATCTGCTGGAAAGCTGACATGGTAAGTACAGAGGTCTGTGACAACCACACTGTAAACGTGCACAACTGGAACCCTGACTCCAGCATAGGACCCAACAGAATGTACAGGAGACCCACCGGAGCAGCGCTCTCAACCTCAGCTGCACATTGAAATCACCTGGGCTTCAGCCTGGACCTCAGGATTTTTAGAGCTTGGAAGGTTCTAAGGTGCAGCCAAGATGGAGCACCGCTGCCTAGAACACGTGCAGTCTCATTACGGACACCTCATCTGACCTTCCCTCCACGGCGCATGCCTGGTGATGTTCCCCGAGTTGTTCTGTTGGATGGACTTGCATCAGCACCTACCCTGCCCTTTTGGTTTAAGAAGTGTTTGCATCACAGAGGGAGGGAACCTTGGCGCAGGTGGAGGATCTGGGACTCAAGAAGAGTGGAGCTTTCAGCAACGCCCGTGGCGTTCCCAGACCTTTGCTCGATCAGAGCCCAATGGCCCAGCAGGTGTCGCTCTTGGCTCATTCACTGCTAGCTGGGGCTGGATGGATGTGGGGACGAGGGGAGCACCCCAGGAGTCCCTAGGCTCAGGAGGGGTGTTGGGAGGGCACTGGTGTTCCTATCCAGGAATGCCAGGGGCAGGGGCAGGGTGGGCCCAGGACTCCGAGTGACTGTTTCTGCCTGTCGATTGAGCGTGACATCTTTCTACCACCTATGCTACATATACGAGTCACCCCAGAAATGAAAGGGCTGTCTATGGGTGCTGCTGGGCGTATGAGGTGAATGCATGAGGCACGTCATCCTCACACTGGAGAAAGTCTGGAAAATCCCAAGGTTCTGAGAAGCAGCCCCTTGTGTCTCCTTAGGGATTTTTTCTACCTAGATGCTGCCTTTTAAAGGAAAGTCTCTGGCTCCAGGCTGTGGCACCATGAGGGGCTCTCGTTCAAGCTCCGTGTGACCAGTGGCGGCTGGGAAATAGTGCCCCAGAAGGCAGAGGGCAAGGTGTCTTCTCCGCTCCGGGGACGGGTCTAGACTTTCCGGCTCCTCTCTTCCCAGAGCCTCAGGGATTTGTGTTCAGACACAAGGCCCGCCTGTTCTTCCCTCAGAACACCCTTCATTGGGAGGTTGTGTGTATGTTTTCGGAGCTGTGTTTCTTCCCTCACTCTCTGAACAAGCTGGACATTGTCCGGGGTTGTAGGAGTGCTCTGTGGGGCTTGGACGGCTTGATTTCTCTCCCTGGCCTAGACCAGGAAATGGGAAGGAATGAAAAGAGGGGGGGAGGGGGAGAGTGAGGGTGGGGGGATAGGGGTGGAGTGGGTAGAGAAACTAATTTTATTTCTTTTTTTTTTTTTTTAAAGACAAACTTTGGGATAGAAATATCGCAATAAATATGCTCTTGTGTTTGTGTGTGTTTTCTCAGCTGTAAAGAAAATAGGGAGAAATTCCATTCTGTCTGGTTTCCAAGTGTCTCCAGAACTCACTGAGCCTTTTATGCAAGAAGACTGACTTTGGCAGCCCCGAGTCCCAGCACGGCCCTGTCAACAGGGAGACCTTTCTCCATGGGAAGCTGAATTAGGTGCTGACGGGGCGACTGCATAGGTGAGGCAGAGGAAGGGGACAGGGAGCCTGAAATGGAAAGGGGAGCTTGGGGAGCAGGAAGGGGATGCTAGGTGAAGGTCAGGTGAGAGCCATGTGGTTTGGGTCCATCATCAAGGAACCGACTTTCTCGGAGAGAATTATGTGGAGATTTGGTAGGGGAAAGTGAGGTGCTTTTAGCTTGAGCTGAGGCTGTGTGAGCATGCCTGCATGTGTCCCGGTTGGAGACAAGGAAACCTTCATCTCCTCATCAGCCAGACTCTACCCCATGGTTGTCTACCTGGCCAAGGTCTTGGCCTGGATTCCATCAAATTATGGGATTGAACAGGCAGCTCACCCACTCTCCCTGAATGCCTCTTCCAGCAACATGTGCAGTGGAGATCCCTCCTCGACCTGCGTGGACCCCTACTGCTTAATAATCCAGGACCTGCCCCATGGCTGTTTCAAAGACTGAGTGAGATAATGTGACAGCCATCATCCCTCTTCAAGGCTGGACACTGTTTCTTTGGCTCTGCACCCAGCACAGGCTCTGGCACTCAGCAAGCATCCATCAATGCAACTTTCCTCCCACCTCCCTGGTTGTCAGGCCTGAGTGAGCCTCTCAGAACTGGGGGATTGGAAGAGAGTTTAGTGGTTGTAGAGAGGCTTCCTGTCCCAGGATGAGGGTTGGACTAGATGACTTTCCATAAATAATAAAACAGCGTTCATTTCAAAAACAACATTACCATACTACCAAACATTTGGAAAACAGGACAATGGGAAAAAATGACCATCATCTACAATCCAAATCCTCATTATTAGTGTTTTGATAGTTTGCCTTCTAGCCACGCAGGCTGGAGTACAGTGGCATGATCTTGGCTCACTGCAACCTCTGCCTCCCAGGTTCAAGCAATTGTCCTGCCTCAGCCATCGAGTAGCTGGGACTACAGGTATGTGCCACAATGCCTGGCTAATTTTTGTATTTTTTGGTAGAGACAGGGTTTCACCACGTTGAGCAGGCTGGTCTCAAACTCCTGTCCTCAAGTGATCCACCCACTTTGGCCTCCCAAAGTGCTGGGATTATAGGTGTGAGCCACCTTACCTGGTCATTCAAGTCTTTTTTCTTTTTTTCAGGTATCTACTTGTATTTTTTTGTAATTGTAATCTTTTTGCATGCTAGTTGCCTTTTCCACATAACACAATGGACCACACAACTTCTTTTCTTTCATTCCTTCACTACTGATGATCATGATGCTTTACAATTATGACCTCCCTGTCATGAATCCTGTATATGCAGCTTTAGCCTCTGATTGCATGGTAGGTGCTCATTCCTTCACAAGGTGGCCCCTTCCATGGCGGAGTAGCTCCAATTGTGCTCAAGAACTTTCAAGATTGAGTCAAAATGGCTCACCCACATTATAATTTCCACCCAAGAGTTCCACCATCAGGAGCCCCACAAAACACATCCCCTCCTCTTTCACAGGACTCATGGTGAATCTTCAGAGGTCCAATCTGCTTCCTGTCTGCTGTTCTTCCATGGAGACATTCCTGGTCCCTCCAACCAACCCTTCCTCCTGTGGTGGCCTTCTGGACCTCTCTTTACCCCCTGGAGCCACAGAAGGTCTAAGCTGTGATAGACCTTAGTGAACATCAAGCCTAACTTCCTCATTTTACAGGTGAAGAAACTGAGGCCCAAGGAGGAGACTGAGTTGCTCAAGGCCATATGGTAGGTTGGAAGTGGAGCCAAAACCAGAACCCAGCGCCAGGGGACCTGGCCGTCACAATTCCCAGCATTAACGAACTTCATAAGGTAGCTGCTGTGTCTGTCTTGTTCTCCATTGTCTCCCTGGCACCCAATGTAGTGTGTGGCACAGAGAGATGAAATGTCTGTTGAATGAATGAATGAATGAATGAATGAATGAATGAACAAATGGTGGCCCATACATCCTTAGAAGTAATCTCCTCCAACAAGGCCTTGGGGGGAGGAGGGCTGAGGATGGGACTAGAGGCTCATATGGGATGAGCACCTAGGTGGTGCCCGGCTGAATGAGGTAGACCACTACCACTTCACATTCAGTAAGTCTCAGCTAGAGACACACTGCTTGCTTGTGATGTGCATGGCTGTATTGATTAATGATAACACTTCAGTGCAGCATGTGACTTTGGGAAGGTCAGGCCATTTGCGGCCCAGAGGAGGAACAATCTGGGTCACCCCTTCCCAGGGCTCCAAGGAAAACCAGTGTTATGCTACAGCCAACTGACACCAGCCAG